ACTCATTAACTCAGAAAAACAGAGCAAAAAAAATTCTCATGAAAAATTAACTCATTAATTCAGAAAAACAGAGCAAAAAAATTTTTTCTCATGAAAAATTAACTCATTAATTCAGAAAAACAGAGAAAATTTTTTTTCTCATGAAAAATTAACTCATTAATTCAGAAAAACAGAGTTGTTTTTTTTTCTTCAAGTGAATGCAATACGCCTCCGTATGTATTACTGTTTTTCTGAATTGCTTAAACGCTAAACCTCATTCTCTGAACCAAATTCTCAATAGCCTAAACCAATCTGTTGAATAATTTCTGTAAAACATTCAACAAGTTCAGGCAATTAGACACCGTTTGCAAACCTCTAAACACATTCTCACTCCGTAAAACACATTTAGCAAAACGCTAATCACAGGCAGGCAAAAGTTAAACACAACAACATTGTTTACATACAACAACTCAAAATTTACCACACTTGTTTCTAATGATTTATAAGCCAGCTCAGAGTGAACGAGTGAGAAAGATAGATGCAAACAATCTGAGAGGGAGAGGAGGAAGAGGAAGAAGAGTATTTGAGGAGGATGAGGAGGAAGAGTATGAGAAAGCAAAGTGTGGGGAATGTTGCCAAGACAGGATCCAACTCACTATGGGGTTTTCCCTCGACTGGCGAGAGACGACACCGCCCATGATACACACGTTTTCAAAACTAAGTCTCCTTTTTTTCAAAACTGCACACACAAAATGCAAAATGCCTCACATCTCCTTCAAAATGCATTCAAAATGCCATAAACATGAGAATGAAGCATTTGCATCAAATGGCAAACACTTCTTTCATAATAATACATTTTTTGATATGCCATAAACACTGCTGTTGTAAATCTAAAGCTCTTTGGTCTTTCATGTGCTTATTATGCAGCATGTATGCAGCAATACGAAACGACACTATTTGCACTGAAATAACAGAGTTTACTCTTATCAAAAAAATATTACTGTTATAAAAAAAAAAACATTTTAATTACACAGTATATTTGCACTGACATTTAAGTGTCATTGAAATTCAATGGGATAAGGTAAGTACTAATTACCACATGGTGCAATCTAAATTAAAATCATAGCAAAAACAAATTATTTTGACTTAACATTAAGTAATCTAGTAAGAAAAGCCAATACATTTATTTTTTTATCAGAGTATATATGTGTGTGTGAGTTTAATTTTTAGCCCACAGATGTCAAAATTAGCCTGTAACATTGCACAAGAACATATTTTGCCAGAAATGTGATTTGTTTTATAAACAACAGACGTATAATTTTTGCATGAATATATTAACAGAATAGGTACCTGTTATTTTTTACTAATTAAATAATTTGCTTGTATATCTGCTTGTTACCCCTTTATTACCCCAAACTTAACATATTGTTCCCTTATACTTACACGGAAGTACATTATAATTACAGAAACGTACACCGTAATGTCAGTGTACTTACACAGTTGTTTGCGGGTCGTAAAATAAAGTGTTACCTTTTTTTTTTTTGTAACTACATTCTCTGGATGCTTTTCTCTGTTTGTTTTTCATGCAGTGTCTAATGAAGGATCTGTAGTGTTTATACACTGACTGATGTGTATAAGGTCTGAAAGCATTATTTAGGCAAGTGAAGAGTCAGAATTTCTCTGAATGGTTTGAAGATTTGGTTTGTGTTTAAGGTTTTGAGAAAGTAGCAATTTAGAAAAACTGTAAATGAGCATGAGAACTTTTTTTGTATAAAACTATGTCAGTTTAGTGTGTGTGTAAATGAGTGAATATGACAAATATAGTTTTATAGTCATAGTTACATTTTTACCATGGTGTGAAGAGCCACACATGGTTTTATTTGTTACCAACTCAGTCACACTGTTAAAATACTTTAGTTTAACCCTAGAAAAAAATGAAGAGTTAACTTTTTAAGGTTGTATCAGTACATTTTGTGCTGAATATGCATTTCAATGAGACCGAATATGTAATTACAATAATAATATCATTACTAGCAGTTTCATTTAATAGGCCTCCAGGAAAGAGAACAGAGGGGAGCAGGGGATTCCCAAAACAAGGAAAAACATTCCTTTCCGGCATGCTTTATGGACTATAAATGTTTCAACCTTAAAGCTGTTTGACAGAAGCTGCACGACTGAAGACTGAGGCACAGCTCTTACATCACCACCACAGACCTATTGAGCTTTTTAGAGTTTCGACATCAGAATGTCTGGAAACCCATTTCTAAGACCTGAAGATTTTGGTAAGTCTAACATTGCTAAAACTCTGTATTTGTTAATATATCTACTTCTGAAATGTTTCATGTGAATGCACTCTCAGACAGTGCGATCTCTGTATTGTATTGTTGATAGGAGTCAGTCCAAAAAAACAACAACAAAAAAACAAATGCGGGCTAAAATGACTCATTTTGCTCTGGCATTTCTCAAAAATTGTGCTTTTTTTTGTTACAATTACCTGTAAATATGTTTGTGCTGAATTGCTGAAATTGTTGTCCTGTTCCTCCATGCAATAATGACACCAGCATACAAATACTCATGATTATTATTTGCTGAAAATATAGAATTGTGTCAGACACCATAGCTTGGAAACGGTTGTGGTTTTGTTTCCATCCACCTTTTTTATGAGCATTTTAGAATAGCGCAAAAAAAAAAGTATGCGCTCAATTGAGTCGGATAATTCAGATCATTTTTTTTATTCAGTGAAAACACACTTGCTGAATAAATTCCCCGATGGGCATTAAAATTTGACGGCATTAACCAAACTCTTTGCACAGCAAGTCTGACGTCAAAGTGTTTCGGTATAATTACCACCTCCCAGAACTCTTACACGATAACTTTATTGCGTCTCGTCTGCTGGCTCTGATGCACAAGACATTTAAATACAACATTTCTTTTCTTAGTGATATTTAGTGCCGGTTTATCAGTGAAGTGAAGATTCTGTTCTCTTGCGATATTCAAATTTTGTGCACCTGAGTATATACAGGTCAGGTAGGCTATACATTTGAAATGATATAAATATATGTGTTTACAATTAAACAATTAGGCTATTTTGTCTATTGATTTAGTTTTTTTCTTTTCTTTTAAAATTTACTATAATATTATCTGAGATTGCGTTCACTCAAAAAAAATTTTACAGCAACTTTTTATTTCGTGAAGCTCAACAATCTTTTCAAGATCCTTTGTTAGGGTTATGGTTATAACATACTGTATAACAACCGACGATTTCATATTCCTATTTAGGATTTCCAATTTCAATGTCATAGTGTGCTGAAAAAAATCGTAAATGTGAAACGAATGGAAATATACTTCCCGTTATACTTTATAAGACATTTTACTTTTTACTAAGAATGTCTAGGGGTGCCAATAATTGTGGCCAACTTTCCTAATGTGATCCACTACACACTTCCACCAGTTGGACAGAGAATATCTCCACACCCGAAAAGCTGCACTTTTCACGACTTCTTGACATTTCCATGCAGATCCAACAGATGATGAAGATGCAGAATATTACGTTTGCCTTTTTTATATGCCTTGTATTTTTTTTTTCAGGTTACACTGCAAAAGGGCCAAACGCCTCAATTAAGGCTGACACCAATACGGTTGGAGGCGAATTAATGGCTCGAGCTGAAGTCGGCAGTGCGTCAGCTAGAGCCGGTCCAGTAGGTGTGAAAGTTGGGCTTGGAGTTGACACGGGTGCATCTGTTGGTCCTCATGGGATGGAGGTCAAATTCCTGGGAACTGGGTTCAAATTTGGTGAAGAATCCAGTATATCTGTTCTGGGTTCAGAAGTGTCATGTTGCGTCATGTAACACTAATCATGAAGACAAAAACAGGAAACTGAATATATATTAACTTTACTCTCAATATACCGCATTATTGCTGTTCTTGTTTAGCTATGAAACTATTACTTAAAGAATATAAAAACTATGGCCCATTTTAGATGTTATAATTCTATAATTGTTGAGACTTCTCTTCAGCACTTTATTCACTGTATAACTGATATAATGTGTTCACAGAACTTTCTGGACACTTTTGACTTATACAATACACTGTATAAGGGTGTGTGATTTGTGCATTAGTCAAACAATTTAGAAAATAATAAGTGTTACGGGTATTTATAAGGAGTATGACATCCTCGTTTCTTCTGTTGTTTTGTGGATAGGGAGGGAGGAAGGGTAGTGTATTGTTTTTCTTTTGATTTTTCTTTATTAGCTAAGTTAGTTTTCTTTTCGTAGATTTAGCGGATTGTTTTGTGCGTTATTTTTGGGATTGCATATTTCCTGAGGTTGTTGGTTGAATTATTTTCTTCACTATCTACACTTTATTGTTTTTCTCTTTTTGTCTGTTAAATAAAATATTGATTTGCGGCTGTCATTATTGAGAAACAAAACGTGTCTTGTCGTGATTTGAAAACGGGTACATCTCCCCTAACTTCTGTTTAGGGTTGGGTATCGTTTGAATTTGAACGATTCTGATTCCGATTCCGATTCCTTGTTTCGATTCCGGTTCCTAACGATTCTCGATTCCGATTCTTTTAAGAGGCAGGGTCAAAAAAGTTTAGCTAACCTTGCTAACCAACGGCCTTTCTGAAGGAAATACTCCTTTCTGAAGGAAATACTCCTTCTGTAAAAATACACGTTTTGTCACAAATTTTGCATTTTACCGAGATTTCGTTATTTTTAGATAACGAGCGTTATCGCCGACGTAAGGTATCATGTTCGACTCGCGTGGTTATGCCAACACTTCCGGTAGACGCTTCTTCGTTGGTGTTGTTTAGCGGTTTCTTCTTCCGCTCGGCGGACTGTGAATATCGAAACTAGGAATCGAAATTTTAACTTTTGAACGATTCCGGGAAAAACGAAAAGTTAGTCCCGGTTCCAATCGATACTCGATTCTCGATACCCAACCCTACTTGTCCATATCTATAATAGGCTACCTGTATAGCAGGGGTCGACAAGTAGGCTAGAAGTCCTTAAACTGTAATGTTGACCGCTGGAGATTACAAGGAGATGGAAAGCTGCTGTGTGGAGTGGAGGCACTTGCTGCTGAGCGTTTGTCAGTCTCTCTCTTTTTTTCGCGTGTTTCTTTGGTACAAGCAGCTCCTGTTGCTGAGTTGACTCAGTAGGCTATTTGAGAAATCAGAGAGTGCGTTCACACACAACCCGCAAAGACACGTGTCTCAGTTTGCTTATGAGCTGCGATTTCTTTCTCGAGAAACCACGCTTGTGCATTTCTTTCTCTGATTCGATCATAGACTAGAGCATCACGTACCGTTTCACGCTGGCGAACGATCCCGGCATCAATTACAACATTACAATCATTCAACGCGGCATCATTACAACGCGCCATTGATTATGTTTTTTGTTCACACAGCGCGCGCTCCGGGACGGAACACAGCTTGTTACTCTGTCCCCAACCGGGCGGCACCAATCCCGGGCCGTGTTTGCGTTCACACAGAAGGTGTTTGTTCTGGCAATTTTAAGCGTTTCTTAGAAAGGCAAACTCTGTCATGCTAATTAAGATTAGCACGGTTGGTTTTAATTTAATCTGATTTATTTTAGTTCAGGACTCCATAGTCCAAATGTAACTAATCTGTACTTTTTAAGCCATTTTTTAAGACATGATTAACTATTCTAGATTAAGGCCTACTCCAGGTTTAATTTAAACCATAAATGCATTTGTATGTATTATGATCACATACCTTGTCATTGTCCTTTTTTTCTGTCTATATAATCTCATATTATGATATTTTGTCATTATGATTGTTCAGATACAACCCTGATCTTGTATGTAACTATAAGTTATATAATGATATGAGTGAGGTCATAACATCACTTAATATCCATATTTCATGACTGATTTCTCATTACTTATGAACTCATAAACATAACTTCAGCGTTTGTAATGTGTCTGAATGAAGATCTCGCCTTTGGTGAAAACTGTTGATTTTATACTCTTCGGGGCGGTTTCCCGGACAGAGATTAATTAAAACGGCCCTTTAAACCTGATTAACAGAAATCTGCTTTCTATGTCATGGCTTTAAATAGTCCTAGATTTAGTTTAGTCCAGAGTTTAATAAGCCGATTTCCTGGAGGAAGACTACAGTAACTCCAGGACTAAATTGAGTCTTAAATTAAACCTACCAGGAGGCAGGTTTAACTTCAGATTAACTTTGTGTTTCAAAGAAGACACCTGCATTACTTGGATACACACACATTCAGTACATATATTAATATATAATTTAAACATTTAATTATGTTTTATTTGTATCGGGTTTCTTGTTAAAATGTGATTAGTTCATGTTAAACTAACTTGAAATGGTCACTTCACTTTGACTTCACTTGATGTTTTAATTTTGAAATATGTTTCAATCTATTAACCCAGTCATACATGACATTCACTTCCCATCATGCTTTGCACAGGGCTGAAATGTAAATTTTGAAATAAAGTGATGTTTTATGCGATTATTTTAGTAAGATGAGAAAACGGAGAGAATGTTTAATGTTCTATTATTATGTTGTTATTTAAACGTTTATGTTATGTTAGTATTTTGGGGGTTACCGTTTTGGTGAAGCCTTGGATTGAGGACCTGCTACAAAAATTCAAGCTGTATAGCCTAATTAATAAAGCAACCACTTTTCCCAGATTTCCTGACATTTCTTCTCTTTTCTTCTATAGCTGGTGAGTGCAGATTATTTAGCTTGCATACAAATAATTTTCTGTTAGTAAATGTTTTTTGATTGCAGTCTTTTTCTGATGCCATTGTTTTCTTTGGATTTGCTTCTCAGTTCCATGCAATTTTAAGCTTTTCTTTTTTCATTCCATGTTTTATAGGCAACCTGTCGTGCTAATTCAGATTAGCATGCTAATTCCCCTATGAGTTTTTTAATACTGAAAGCATCATATCGTCCATCTGAAAGCAGGTGAAGGTGATTTACTACTAATCAAGGAACCGGTTTTACTGATTAGATTCGCATAACAATATCCTGCGATTAATCGTGCAGCCCTACTGAAAATTATATATGACATGCAGCTTTTGGGGAGCTTTTCCCAGAGCCGTTCTTGCCCAGAAGAACCCGGATCATTGGATCATCTGGAACAGACGTCTCTGAAAGAGACAGAAAATATGGAGTATATGAATATATAAAATAAGGCAGACTCGTATTGTAATTTTCCGGATTAAGAGAAAGAAGACAGCAGAAATGAACAAAAATGCCACTGAATATCATCAGTATCAATATATTATTATTATTATTATTATTATTATTGTCTTATTTTGTCTTAAAGCGTGCAAACGGAGTTTCTACCAGGAAGTGTTTCAGCTCTGATCATCTTTACTGAATCTGAACACATAAAGCTCATTAAGACGGTTTCTAGATAAACACTTTCACTTTCGGTACCACGTGATTTATTCCTCTCCGGTGCCGTGACGTCACCATCATCATCATAACGCGATCTTGCAGAGGAGGTGGTATTCCCATACATGTGGCTTTATCACAGAAATAATTGATAGCAAAAAAAGCAGATTGGTGACACACACACACACACACACATACACACACACACAAAGAGAGAGAGAGAGAGAGAGAGAGAGAGAGAGAGAGAGAGAGAGAGAGACGTGACTCACGAGAGCGCTTGTTCAATAACGGTATTGTATAATAACGGTGAGCTGATTATATTAATAATTAATAAATCCTCGTATGAATGAAAGCGGCTAAAGATGTTAGATTTAGCGGAAGATCAAACGTCATCAGTCTGAATGGAGATTTGGCGCCATCTGCTGGACACACAACAGACAACATTAAAACTAAGAAAATTAAATTATGTTTAATTTGGACTTCTCTGTGCATGCTCTTTGAGGTGGGCTCCATAGACTTCCATTATATGACTGACAGACAACAGCGGTTTGACCTAAAAATATCAAAATTGAAAATACTGTGGAAACAAAGACACCTATGCCCTTGAGGTAAGATAAAACATATCAAAAATTAATTTCAAAGTAAACTATCCCTTTAAGAAATGGAATTCAGCAAACTACTGTACGTTTACTATCCAGATGAACTGGCAGTTCATGAACTGATGCATCTAAGTCACAGTAAATCATATGTTTACTTTCTTTAAATAGCTAAAATCACATTGCAGGTCAAAACATTATTTTTAGCCTTTCCTGCTATAAAACTACTGATGACGTCTGAAAAAGCGTTATGTAGCCTACTTTATAGAAATACTTATTTATTTATTTTTTAATGTATTTATTTACTTCATTCTCTTTCTCGCAGTTCCTGACAGTACCGTAATCATAGTAATAGGCGCACAATGTTTTTTTTGTTTTTTTTTTTCTTCATTAAAAAAGACAAATCTGACTTTAAACTGCGGCTGGCGTGACCAGTGGGAAACCTGTTAGTTTGGTGATGCTCTGTTATAAAGACATGATAACTATCTCTGGGATTGATCATATCAGTATGTTTCTACTGCCTGTCTTTTAGGAAGTTGCTCGACGCAGCCGGAGGAACATTTAAAATTGAAAGTAACTAATACAAGTGAAAGTAAAATTGTTCTGCGGACATAACGGGCATGAGCATCCGTTAGCGAAACATCTAAAAGGCATTTGAAGATGCACCAGACGAACTGTATTATATTGTCAGTACTGCTGCTGATCGCTGATGGTACGTAGACTACTATATTTTGATTATATTCTCTCTGTGCGCATACTGGAAGTGATTGGTGAAAGTGCCCGCTGTGGCTTCTTTTTCAAACTTCTATTTTTATATTGTAGGTCTATGTTTTTTTTTTGTTTTTTTGTTTTTTTGTTTTTTTGTTAAAATTGTTGTGACTGTGTGATTATTTTGGTTTGAGGGCGTTTTACGCCGGTGTCTTTATACACCATGGCGGTGTAGCGGTCGATTCTGTTCTCTAACGGAATTCCTGTTCCCTTTACAAAATCATGCGTTCTCACACGTACCACCAGAACTGAATACGAGCAAGAAGCGCAATTGGATGTACCGGAAGCCAAAATGTAAAAAAAAAAAAAAAAAAAAAAAAGTAGGCTATTGTATTTTTTCCCGAAACTTTCCGAAAGTTTTTCCCATCTGTCGATTCAATCCAGGTTATTTCTTTTCAAATTTAAAACGCATTACCAATGTCAATGTGATGTTTTATTAAGGCTCTGTAAAATATAAGCCTCTGGCGCAGGAAAAAGACTGATTTCGTTATTTATTGCAAGAAACACATTTATATTCCATTTTTTGTAGTAAAGTTGGCCATCCATTGAAATAGCTTTATAGCTTTAGTAAAATAAATCTAAACAACAATTTAGATGGATCCTTTATAAAGGCCCAATGAAAGAAATAGGAACTGAAATTGCAGGATAGGTTATTTTTGATGTTAGTTGCTGGCAAGTCAATTATATGAAGGCTATAGTCCATGGACAAGTATTGTTTTTTTGTTTGTATCAAGTGGTGTATCATTATACATCACTCCTGTCTGTATCTAGAGCTATCTCCACTGTGTAGAATATCATTTGCATTACTTGCCATCAATTTGGAAATTAGAGGAACGTCTGCGAATTACATGTTTATGGTCTTTTTTTTATGTCAAATGGGTATGTGACTTGAGTTTTGTAATTCATGATTTCTTCATTCATTTTTGGATCCATTGTTGGAATGTGGCGGCAAGAATTAAAATTCAGGAGACAATTAATGTTGTGTGGTCATCTCCCCAATTTAGAACACTATTTATTAACATGGTTAATTTATTCATTTAATTAGTGCCCTCTGAAATTGAATTAATTATGATTAGAATGTTATGTTGCACCCGGGGCCCTATTTTAACGATCTGAAACGCAAGTGTCAAAGCGCAAGTAACTTTGTGTGCGGGTCCCGGCGCTGTTGCTGTTTTCCCGGCGGGATAAATGCCTCTTGCGCTTGGCGCAAATCTAAAAGGGGTTGGTCTGAAGTAGCTTCATTATTCATAGGTGTGGTTTGGGCATAACGGAAATAAACCAATCCGAGCGCCATCCAACAGCATGACGGATTGTTATTATAACGGCGGGTTTACCAGGAGCGCGCCAGGAGCGTTCACGCACTCCTGAGACCGACGCTCTCGTCAGGACAGTGAAAGACATGAGGTGACGTTGTATAGGGATGGGAGAAACTCTCGCACATCAGCGTCGGTTAAACATTATATACGTATGTTTCTTGCCACTATTGGGCAAACAGGTCTGATCCTTCAGTAATTAGCCTTAAAAATGGGTAATAACAATAAGGTTTGTTCATCTTCATGTAAACCACAGTGATTTCCCTCATGTGTTAATATTTTTCCTTGTTATAATGTATGATTTGAAAACTGCATCTGTGTTGATGAGAGAATCAGTGTATGCGCGTTGTGTACCCGCTAAATTATGGCCAAGCATGCGCACTTAATATAGCATTATGAACAACGCTCAACGCGCCACTGACTTTAGACCAGGTTTTTCTGCTCAGTGGCGCAATTGTGTTCTGGAATAGCACCAGGGAATGTTTACGCCGAAACACGCCTCCTTTTTGCGCCGATCCGGCCAGGGAGCGCAAGTTCATTCCCTAGTTTACCGACGTGCGTCTGTGGAGGGGAAAAGCCCGCTTTGCAAAATAGGAATGAGACATGCATCAGTAGCCTACTATATAAAATCATTTGCGCCGGGTGCAAGATAGAGCCCGATATATTTAACACCAAGCATATCTGCTGACTCTGTTGATTTTCTCCTTGATTCGTTTAACTCAAAAGTTAACAGTGAAAGTCAGGAAGAATAGTGGTAGAAAAAAAGCAAAATATGAAAAGACAATGCAGAAGAGCAGAACGCATGTGGCGGAAGACAAAACTTGTAGTCCATTATAACAGATATAGAGATACAAGTACAACAAAATGACTTGCAATTTTTTATTTGTCCTCAAAAATCACAATTAACTGAATATAACAAAGTCTAGGGTTTCAAATCAAAAGGGGAAAATCATAATCCGGTTGGGGAGTAAAAGACGGCTATGGGCTGTAAATCAAAAGGTTCAAATGACTTCGCCAGAGGCTGTCAGTCCAATAGGCGAAGTGAAGAGGAGATGTTTGATCCTCTTCACAATTAAAGATAATCAGGTAGCAGGTGTATGTGATCTCCCACGCTCTCTGAGCAACTACGCCACCAGCAGGCGAGCAAGCAGAACGCAGGGTCGTAACAATCTGCAAAGACCACATCCATGCTTTCAATAAGGAACAAGCCTACTCAAATATTATACCACTGTGAGTGTTTGTAATGTATTTTTTTATTTATTCTAAACTGTTTTAATTATTCTGATTTCTTTTGAGAATTTAAATTTCTTCTATGTAAAGCACCTTGAATTACCATTGTGTATAAAATGTGCTATATAACCAAACTTGTCTTGCCTACTAGATACCCATCTGTTGTGATTCCCCTTCTAGTTGATCCTATATGTGTGTTCTTCCACGGTACAGCTTCTGCGTTGGCAGGCCCGTCTTCCCTCAGCAGAGTTAACTCAACCATCTCTGTAATGGTATTGACTTCACCCCTGCACAAGGCGGGATCTGTCTGTAGCACTGCCCTTATGATCTGTCCATATGTAATATTATGGACTATAACCACTCCGGGAGGAACATGTGGAGTGTTGCATGCTTTCCCAGTGCTCTCCAATAGCCTCACTGTACAGGGTTTAATGGAGCGTGAGCGTCAGTACACTGAAAAAAATGATTCTGAGTGCATGTAAATATTACGTAATTAAAATGTGTAATATTAACAATAAAATGTTACGTTTATATCTTTACATAATATATCTGGTTTTGAATTTATCTTCATTTGTTCAAAACACAAGACAATGTGCATATTTTTACCTTACAAAATTAATCTAAGTAATCTCAGCCAATCTTTTTAGGCACACGCACTCAACAAACAATACCTTGTTTAATTTACTCAGTGCAAAAAATTACCCCCCTTCCTGTTTTTTGGTCTGGAAACCCATTGCATTTCAAACGAAGAGGAAGCCTACACGTGGAGACTGAACTCAAGGTAAGAATAAAGTTAGAAAAGTAGGCTAACAATTAAGGTTACTTGGGTTTGTACATTCTTTACAGTGTTCCAATTGTTGTACAAAAATTAGGCTTTAAATGTAATTTGAAGATTGCTTTGTTGTACGTGGATTTTCTGTTAATTACCATGTGGCAACGCTGGATGGCTATGTTGCTTTACGTGTAGTCTAACATTAATTGAAACTTTGCAAGTGGCCATAGAATGGTTTGTTCTAGTGTAATTTAAAGCCAGCGTTATAATCCAGCAATAAAATAATGTAATGTTAGTGCAAGCACGTGGATTTTTAGAGCAGCCATGAATAAATTAGGGTAACATCATTCGTTTTTTCCCCCAACCTGGGCCTAATTTTATTCTTTAAAAAATATGTATTTGTGTTTAAGTGACTGATGGGAACAACAATTGGCCAGGCTTAGACCGCTTCAGTGTGCAGAGGCGAAAGAATTAACGTTAGGCCTATAAAATCGTACGTTATATGGGTAATTGCGTTCTTTTACATCCACAAAACCTGCTTGTTTTGCCACTGACATGCTATTCTAAGTGTCTGACGACATTACCTAAGATCGCGGACAGCTCCAGCGTTAAAATTAACACGTTAAATCAGCTTGATCTAAAAACTGACTATCATATTAGAAAGATTTAGGATTCCAGCTTGGATATTTGGCCAGTATTTATGACAAAACTGAGTTGCAATGACTTTCTGTCTTTCTTTCTTTTTTATTCTTTTGTCAAATAGTGCAGATAACCATTATAATATCATTATAATATATTTGTGTTCACATAGATGGAATTGACAGCATCCGCGAATGACTCCAAACGTGGGCGCATTTTTTGAAATATTGATTTAGTTTGCGCGCTCTGTTTTTATCCATGGTTTGTGTAAGGTGTTTTTTATACTTTATGGTTAGAGCGCTCATTGGGGGTTTTCAGCCGTCAATCATCTCGTGACCATAGTCCCGTCTTCAGCATGACGCGGTTCACTGCACGCTTCCCCATCGGAGCTCCGAGGGAAAACAAACCCAAAGTAGGCTAACAATTAAACTGAAACTGAAGAAAATTTGCTTACTGATGAGCAGGTCAACTAATTGCAGTGTTGTGGAGAGAGTAAAATGTTAAACTATTTTTAATTAGGCTATAGTTGTAGTTAACATTTTTTGCTATGTTTTTGGTTTCTTGCGTCAGTTAACCATTACACTGTGTCCTTACCAGGTGATTCTCCTGACAAGTAGGCTACACTGGATAAAGGTTTGTAAATTTCTCTAAATTGGTTTATTGTAGTGAGAAAACTGGGGGTTAAAATGTCAAATGGCAAAATTCCTGTTGTCCTGTTTATATAGAAAGTTTTAGTGCTCTTCAATACAGTACATGTGACACACTTACTCATGACCAGTGATGCTGGCATTTGTACTTAAAAAAAAAATGACAAAAATAGTAATGCACAGTAACATGGATAAGTAACTGAAATCTGAACACTTTTGTCAGTCACAAGCAATAATGCGCTACTATTTCCAAAATACGTAATCAGATTAAATTTACTTATTCAAGTTACTGTGCGTTACTATTTTTGTCATTTTCTTTAGTAGAAATGATGGCTGGTATGCGATATGAAACCGAAATTGCGACACTCCCTGTGTCACTGTGTGAGAAGGCAGAATCACGACACACCCCTTCCAACTATCAGAATTATCCTTCCCGTCCAGATCCAATGCTACCACATTTTTAAATTACTATTAGTATTCTTTGAAGTTAACATTATAAAATACATAGACCTACACCACACTGCACATTCTTCGAGCACATGCTTGCACAAATGTACATAAGTATATAGAACAAAACTACCACAGCACGTAATCCCACCAAGATTTCTGTTTAGAGCAAAGAGCTGTATGCATTCTTCACATTAGCAAACAAAAAGTAGGTTAAATTCTCTCTTCTATATTTCACAGTTTTGTGATGACGACGATTCTGCAGCCATCCAAGAGGACATCACTTCATTTGTACTCAACATGTTTGTGGTCACCAAAACCAGGGATGGAGGTCTCGAGAAGCAAGCTGGAATAGCCATCAAGGGAGAAGAGGTCCTTTTTGGAATTCCCAGTGTAGCACATGCTTGCACCTATACCTTATGGGCATTATTTATGCCTTGGAACTAAGCTATCCAAATAAACTAAAATACACCTTTGGAGGATGTTAACAAAAACATGCCCTCCAAAATCCAGCTTACTGGCCTAAAAGTATGACGGACGTTGTTGTTTATAACTCTGTTTGGACTTTTTGGGACTTTGGCTTATTCACCATATCCCCCAGAGTTAAATAAGTCCACACATACCCTTCTCATCTCTGTGTGTGCCGTAACAGTCAGACGCACCCACTGTTAGCCTAACTTAGCACAAAGACTGGAGGTAAACAGATCCAGCTAGCATACTAATCTTAATAAATGACAAAATAACAATAACATTTCCTATTTACATGTTGTGTTTTTTATAGTCACAGTGTGTACAAATAACAAGGTCATATGAGACAAAACCATCTTCAAAACCGTATACATACAGGGAACTATATTCTCAGAAGGTGAATCACTTCTACTTGGTCAGAGTGATTAGCGCAACACTCTGAGCGAACTCTCTGCTCCTCACCACGGGGCTTCTCAGGTGCTGTGAGAAAATCACTGCATAGAAGAAGTGCTTCACCTTCTGAGAATATAGTATCCAGTGTGTATACGGTTAGAAGATGGCTGTGTCTCATGTGACTTTGTGAACACTCTGTGACTATACAAATCACAACATTTAAATAGGAAAATGTTGGTGTTATTTTGACACTTATTAGGATTAGTATGCTAGCGAGACTGCTGACTTATTGACTTAGTTTACTTAGGTAAACTGCTATTTACCACCAGTCTTTGTGCTAAGCTAGGCTAGCAGTGGGTGGGTCAGACAGAGTTACGGCACACACGTAGATGAGAAAGGTATGTATGGACTTATCTGACTCTGGGGGATATGGTGAATAAGCTTAAGTCCCAAAAAGTCAGAGTGTTCCTTTAAAGTCTTAGAATATGTTACTGTACATGACTGAAAAACACAATTGTATAGAAAATACTCTGTAAATGTTTATTTTTATTGAAAAGTCCTTACTGAGAGTGTTGAAATATAGTTAAACATCTGGTTGGTTGGTTGAGACTGACATAGTACGTTTAAAGGGATAGTTCACCCAAAAATGAAAATTAAGTCATTAATTACTCACCCCCATGCTGTACCAACCCCGTAAGACCTTCGTTCATCTTCAGAACACAAATGAAGATTTTTTTATTAAATTTGAGAGGTGGATCACTGCTACATAGGCTGCCTAAGACATTGAAACTTGACGGCCTAGAAAATCAATTAAGAAAATGTTTAAATATTCCATGTGACTACAGTGGCTCAAGTATAAGTTTATATAGATTTGAAGATCACAGTTCTCGCGCATGCGTCGTGGAAATCTCTTGAACTCTCGTCTCAGGCCTACAAGGAAGAAAAGGAATAGTTGAATAAAGTTGTTATTTTTGTTTGTTTTTTCGAAACAAAAAGTATTCTCGTCGCTTGCTAAACTTATAGTTGAGCCGCTGTAGTCACATGGAATATTTAAACATTTTCTTCATTGACTTTCTGGGCCGTCAAGTTTCAATGTCTTAGACTTTCAATGTCAATGTCTATGTAGCAGTGATCAACCTCTCAAATTAATCAAAATATCTTCATTTGTGTTCTGAAGATGAACGAAGGTCTTACGGGGTTGGTGCAGCTTGGGGTGAGTAATTAATTACTTCATTTTCATTTTTTGGGTGAACTAACCCTTGGTCACAGCATGCATATCTTGAAGTATTGAAGGGGAATTTTGTTACCATATTCCTGAAGACAATAAAGCCTGTCAACTTCCACTTAATGTTCCACGTCCATTCCTTTAGCACCACCATAAAGCACAATTTTCTATTGTACACAATGTTTGAACCTGTGAGGTGAATATATTGTATTATACTTTTATTTTTTATACTGACCTTGTCAGTTTTTACTATCAAATGGCGAAAATGTCAACTTATATTTGATTAGCACATTCCACGGGGATAGTACCAGTTTTGAACCAGTAGTAGTAAAAAATAACTATTTGCATTTATACTTTCAGTAAAAAAAACTAAGTTTTTAATAATGAGTAAATGTAACTTTAAAATACACTAACATTTAAAAAAAACAAAAACAAAATAGATCCCACTTGAAATGTGTAATATGGAAATGTAAAAAGCTTGTTGGATTCAATCAAAATTACTCATTCAGAACTCTTAAAGTTATGTAGATCACACACATAAATAAATTACTAGAGCAATGCTAAAATTAAGTTAACTTTATGTGAAAATTCTATTTCAACAAACAGAAAAATTAAGTAGTTTCTACAAAGACTTGTCTTGTTGGATCTACGTAACAAAATTATGCAAAAAAATTCATTAGATTTTTTAAGTAAATCAAGCAGATTATTTTTATCAATAGACATTCTCAGTGCAAAGCCTTGTCCCTTCTTCCACCCCAACAGGTAACGGGGGATCAGGCGGGTTAACCGGGGTGCTGGAAGGGGACCGTCTCAGGCGAGATTCCAATTCGGTCAAATAGTAAATATTTTTGACACCCTTTTGAATGACGTTTCCCAAGATTAAATATTGCGATGCTATAAGTGTGCCGTAAATGTGAAAGGCAAAACAAGAGGCTGTCAGTGACCCTCTGCGAGTAAACAAACTAAATAACTTGAAACCAAAAACAACATATACGGACACCCCTGAATGCACCTACTGTACATTGTCAGTAATCATGCTCTATATGAGGATGTATCCGTTATGATTTGAAAAAATGACATAGCAAGCTTTATTTTATGTATCTCTCTCAGGATTCATTGTGCGCGGTCCCTCTGGTCCTCTGGTTGCTCCTCTGGGATCTTCACTGGTTCTGCCCTGTTATGTTGATGAACCTTTACTAATGGAGGATCTGGAGGTGGAGTGGAGAAGAACAGACTCAGAGACTTTAGTTCATCTGTTTCAAGATGGAGAGAGTCGACCAGAGGCACAGTCGCAGGATTATCAGGACAGAGCTCATTTCTTCACTGAGGAGATTAAACACAGAAACTTCTCCCTCCGGCTGGACCATCTGAGAGCTGAAGATGAAGGACGATACACATGTACAGTTCACAGTCAGCTGGAGTCTGGAGAAACTGAGGTTCAAATAAAAGATGTTGGTGAGTCTGAACTGAAATGATCTGTGTGTGTAGATAGGTGTGTGATATTTTACACAGTTTGTTCTTTCAGAGCGTTTTGCTGGTCTCAGGATCAGATCGGTCCATCTCTGCGTCTGTGGGTGAAGACGTCACTCTGAACTGCTCTGTCGACTCTCACATCAAACCTGAACACTTAGATGAGGTTTCCTGGAAGAAAATTGATAAAGAGAATGAAGATGAAGATGTTCTGGTCCTGCTCTACCAAAACAACAAGACCTTTCCAGGTTCATCAGATGAGCGATACCGAGACCGAGCTGAGTTCTTCACCGCTGAAATCCCCAAAGGAAACTTCTCTGTCCAACTGAAGAGCGTCAGAACGGAGGATAAAGGGGTTTACATGTGTCATGTGTTTGCTGGAAGACATTCAGCCAATGCAACTGTAGTGCTGGACCGACTGGGTGAGTCAATCTATAAATAATACACAAGTGGAAATTTAGTTATGCATTTACATGCAGTTGTATTTAAAGGGTTAGTTCACCCAAAATGAAAATTAAGTCATTAATTACTCACCCCATGCTGTACCAACCCCGTAAGACGTTCGTCTTCGGAACACAAATGAAGATATTTTTGATTAAATTTGAGAGCTGTATAACTACCACATTGGCTCCTAAAGGACTGCCTCTTGACGGCCCAGAAAGTCAATGAAGAAAATGTTTAAATATCCCAAGTGACTACCGTGGCTCAACTATATGTTTATCAAGCGACGCGAATACTTTTTGTGCGAAAAAAACAAACAAAAATAACGAGTTTATTCGACTTTTTTTCTTCCTTGTAGGCCAGAACGAGACTTCCTTATAGATTTCCACGACGCATGCGCGAGAATTGCGATCTGAAGTGGTGTAAGCTGGTGTACGCAGATCGCAAATCTCGCGCATGCGTCGTGGAAATCTATAAGGAAGTCTCGTTCTGGCCTACGAGGAAGAAAAAAAATAGTCGAATAAACTCGTTATTTTTTGTTTGTTTTTTCGCACAAAAAGTATTCGCGTCGCTTGATAAACATATAGTTGAGCCACGGTAGTCACTTGGGATATTTAAACATTTTCTTCATTGACTTTCTGGGCCGTCAAGAGGCAGTCCTTTAGGAGCCAATGTGGTAGTTATACAGCTCTCAAATTTAATCAAAAATATCTTCATTTGTGTTCCGAAGACGAACGAAGGTCTTACGGGGTTGGTACAGCATGGGGGTGAGTAATTAATGACTTAATTTTCATTTTTGGGTGAACTAACCCTTTAAAGGAGCAATGTGTGACTTTTAGCGACATCTAGTGGTTCGGTTGCGAGTTTGCACCAGGTTTGCACTAAGGGCTCACCCCTCCCTTTCGAAGAAGCTACGGTTGCTAAAACGGGACAAACATCTCGTCGGCTGAGACAGCAGAGAATAGCCAGAGTAAGCCAAGAGTGTGTAACATTGTCACTGTTTCTGTACCACAGTCCATTATAAACCACATCATGAATACTGTCTGTTTACAAAGCCATAGTCAGGTGAGGATCAAGGGTTTTAATATATAATTTAATAAAATAATAATCAGCTGATTGTCTCACAAACGTAACCAGCAGCACATTTCTCCCCACATACTGTAGCAAACCCATAATACAGCGAGGGAGCAGCTATATATTTTTTTCTAACAGGGTAGTAATAGTTTAGCTGGCTAATATGAGCTGTTACTGTGGCTGAGCTGGGACGCGTCTGCATGAGTCCAAAGGTTCGGAAGTGCGCGCGCTGTTACAATCATGTCATCTCCGCATCCCATAGATACTATTTACTACACACAATAGGCTTTTTTCTCTGATTTTTGAAAATTCTTCGCGATCGACTTTAGTGATAAAAGACTTTAGTAAAAGTCTCTATCGACGGGTTAGTGATTCCTGTAACGTACTGTTTTACGGTCAATGACATGAATACTAATCATCAGCTGTCTCACGAACGTAACAGCACATCTATCCCCACATAACAAACCCATAACACAGCGAGGGAGAACTAAGTTACATGAAACAATCCCAACTACATATTTAACCACTCACAAGGGAAAAGTCACTACTCACGGAGTGTAAGGCTAGCTTCCAGCTTTCCGCTACTTCTCTTTCAAGGTAGTGATGAAACGCGTTCTGTAGCGCTGTTTGTTCGCGTTCGGCTACGGTAGGAATATGACGTCACAACATGGCGACCTTCATAGAAGGGGATTCCCTCGGTTATGGAGCTATTAATGTCTCGTTCTAAGGTAATAAACATTACGACTAATTAAGTAAGTTCTTTATACACCACTGAAAACATAGTTATGGATGTCATATTGCATTTCTGTTAAATAGATACTCAACTTTGTTACACATTGCACTTTTAAA